CATCCACCCCCACCCTTTATTACACATCCTAATGTTGTCGTGACATCCACCCCCACCCTTTAATACACATCCTAATGTTGTCGTGACATCCACCCCCACCCTTTAATACACATCTTAATGTTGTGGTGGCATCCACCCCCACCCTTTAATACACATCCTAATGTTGTGATGGCATTCACCCACACCCTTTAATACACATCCTAATGTTGTCGTGACATCCACCCCCACCCTTTAATACACATCCTAATGTTGTGGTGGCATCCACCCCCACCCTTTAATACACATCCTAATGTTGTGGTGACATCCACCCCCACCCTTTAATACACATCCTAATGTTGTCGTGACATCCACCCCCACCCTTTAATACACATCCTAATGTTGTGGTGGCATCCACCCCCACCCTTTAATACACATCCTAATGTTGTCGTGACATCCACCCCCATCCTTTAATACACATCCTAATGTTGTGGTGGCATCTACCCCATCCTTTAATACACATCCTAATGTTGTCGTGACATCCACCCCCACCCTTTAAGACACATCCTAATGTTGTGGTGGCATCTACCCCATCCTTTAATACACATCCTAATGTTGTGATGGCATCCACCCCCACCGTTTAATACATATCCTAATGTTGTGATGGCATCCACCCCCACCCTTTAATACACATCCTAATGTTGTGATGGCATCCACCCCCACCCTTTAATACACATCCTAATGTTGTGATGGCATCCACCCCCACCCTTTAATACACATCCTAATGTTGTGATGGCATCCACCTACACCCTTTAATACACATCCTAATGTTGTGGTGACATCCACCCTCATCCTTTAATACACATCCTAATGTTATGATGGCATCCACTCCCATCCTTTAATACACATCCTAATGTTGTGATGGCATCCACCCCCACCCTTTAATACACATCCTAATGTTGTGATGTCATCCACCCCGTGGGAAATTATGTGTAGGTAATGTTGTGATGGCATCCACTCCCACCCTTTAATACACATCCTAATGTTGTGATGGCATCCACCCCCACCCTTTAATACACATCCTAATGTTGGGATTGCATCCACCCCCACCCTTTAATACACATCCTAATGTCTTGATGGCATCCACCCCCACCGTTTAATACACATCCTAATGTTGTGGTGACATCCCCCCTCATCCTTTAATACACATCCTAATGTTATGATGGCATCCACTCCCATCCTTTAATACACATCCTAATGTTGTGATGGCATCTACTCCCATCCTTTAATACACATCCTAATGTTGTGATGGCATCCACCCTTACCCTTTAATACACATCCTAATGTCTTGATGGCATCGGCCCCCACCGTTTAATACACATCCTAATGTTGTGGTGACATCCACTCTCATCCTTTAATACACATCCTAATGTTGTGATGGCATCCACTCCCATCCTTTAATACACATCCTAATGTTGTGGTGGCATCCACTCCCATCTTTTAATACACATCCTAATGTTGTGGTGGCATCCACCCCCATCCTTTAATACACATCCTAATGTTGTGGTGACATCCACCCTCAAACTTAAAATTATTTTCTTTTCTTTGCTGTGTCATAAATACGTGTTCTCCTATAGTATTAGGCAATCACGGTAGGACCCCCCCCCTTTCCTACCTCCCCTAAAGGGGTCGCGACCTACAGGCCGAGAAGCACTGATATAAAGGGTTTACAAAATAGATAGATTTAACGTCCACAATAGCCACCTATACAAATGATAGTGATTTTTTTTTTTTGTGTGTTCCAAATCCTCAGATATTTCATTACCAACCAGCCTATCCACGCAATGTTCACGCCAAGGACGTCGAGGGCTCGTTAATGACGTTTGAGAACCACACCGAATGTGAGTGCGTATTGCCGAATACACTACCGCAAAGGTAAGGAGCCACTTTTTACTGACGGAGTCTTGACACTATATTTGGACAGGACGAAGGGTCAACGCAAGGTCAGCAGACTTCGATGACGTCAGGACATTTCCTCGTCAGGAATTTTGAAGCATTGTAGGCTGATCTTTTTAAGCTCGTTTAGTTACTTGACAAGGTTGATCTGGTATTTTGATAGGTCAGTGACATAGTAGATCTTGCATGTTGTTGGGTCAGTGACATAGCAGATCTTGCATGTTGTTGGGTCAGTGACATAGTAGATCTTGCATGTTGTTGGGTCTGTGACATAGTTTCGGGGGTGCATTGATGATGTCAAGTCATGGATGAAGCTCAGCAAGTTGAAGCTTAATGATGACAAAACAGAAGCACTCCTCATTTACAATCACAAATCATCCTCTACCTCAACTCTTCCTACATCTTTTCAAGTAGGTAACTCTGACATACAGTTTACACCCGCTGCTAGGAATCTTGGTTATATTCTTTCTAAAAACATGTCTCTCGATAAACATATCTCTCACATTTGTCGTTCGGCACACACCGCTATCCGTCAGATGAGCTCCATACGCCACTACCTGACAGTTAGCGCAACAAAATTCTAGTCTGTGCTCTTGTTCTCTCTCGTCTTGACTATTGCAACTCTCTTCTGTCAGGTTCACCAAAACATTGCATAAAAAAACTGCAGAAAGTTCAAAACTCTGCTGCTAGGCTTGTTCTTAAGGCAAAAAACCGCGATCACGTCACTCCACTACTCCACTCACTACATTGGCTACCTATACAGGCACGCATTGACTACAAGCTGTCTGTTCTCTGTCACAACTTTTTCTCGGATTCCTGCCCTTCCTATCTAACCGAACTTCTTTCTGTCTATTCACCCCTTCGACAACTTCGCTCCTCCGCAGACTCGCGTATTCTGTCCGTTCCCAAGACACGCACTAAATTGTATGGTGAACGATCTTTCTCTTTCTGCGCCCCCAAACAATGGAATTCTTTGCCACTACACATCCGCAATATACCAACCACCCAGGCCTTCATCTGCACTCAAAACACATCTCTTTAAACTATACTACCCTGACTGATTCCCCTCCTCTCACCGATAAACGATCCTGCTGACTGCCGTCCATGGTTTGCCATGTAAAATTTCTGGGATGGGTGGGTGGGTGAATATAAATTTGTTTTTGTCTTTTGACTAATTGTTGTGTTTTATTTCATTTATGTATTTTATTTTGATATCATGATTAGGTCTCTTTTGCTAATTATTGTTATGTACAGCGCGGTGAGCCCAAGCCTAGGCTGGGGTACCGTGCTATATAAGACAACTAATTATTATTATTATTATTATGTTGTTGGGTCAGTGACATAGCTGATCTTGTATGTTGTTGGGTCAGTGACGTAGTAGATCTTGTATGTTTTTGGGTCAGTGACATAATTGATTTTATATGTTGTTGGGTCAGTGACATAGTAGATCTTGTATGTTGTTGGGTCTGTGACATAGTAGATCTTGTATGTTGTTGGGTCAGTGACATAGTAGATCTTGTAAGTTGTTGGGTCAGTGACATAGTAGATCTTGTATGTTGTTGGGTCAGTGACATAGTTGATCTTGTATGTTGTTGGGTCAGTGACATTGTAGATCGTGTATGCTGTTGGGTCAATGACATAATTGATCTGGTATGTTGTTGGGTCAGTGACATAATTGATCGTGTATGTTGTTGGGTTAGTGACATAGTAGATCGTGTATGATGTTGGGTCATTGACATAGTAAATCTTGTATGTTGTTGGGTCAGTGACATAGTAGATCTTGTATGTTGTTGGGTCAGTGACATTAGTAGATCTTGTATGTTGTTGGGTCAGTGACATAGTAGATCTTGCATGTTGTTGGGTCAGTGACATAGTTGATCTTGTATGTTGGGTCATTGACATTGTTGATCTTTTATTTACCGTCTGTGACGTATTGATCTTGTATGTTATTTGTGGCAGTGACATAGTTGATATTGTATGTAGGGTCAGGGACATAACTGATCTTGTGTGGTCGGGTTAATTTACCTAAAATTGACAATAATGATTCACAAACTGTCACACTCTCTTATACTCATTGACCCCCCCCCCCAACCCTACCCGGAGCGTGACGTACATCTTTATGGACGGTGCGTTTATTAGTTTTAAAATTTATATAAATTTAGGTTCCAAAATTTTCTGCATTGCATGAGGCACAACATTAAACGCTCGGGGTAAGATTCAAGTGATTTGCACTGAATGTAACAAAATTACTCTAAGCAGTCTGGGAAACAACAGCCAATCATTCATTCAATCAACCTTTGAAAACATTGTTTTAATTTAACCGGAAACATTTACAAACATTGTGACTTTAAATGCAAAGTTCTTAATAATTTTCAGCGCGTTTTTTCTTAATTCTTATGGAGAAGGGTGTCTGTTTAAGCCCAGCTGGGAAGTTAAAAACGAACTGCAAAAAAAAATAATTAAATATGCATTCCACTTGTTTATATCGAACTTGTTATGTCGAATCCAACCGAGACAAGTAACACGTGAAATGTTTGTGATGCACCATTAATGCAGTGGCGTAGGAAGGGGGTACGAAGGGAGGTGACCGCCAGCAAGTGGCCCATTTTTCTGTGTACATAGGGGCGGCATCTTTGACCAACTGTATTTTATTTTTTTTTTCGCGGGAGCGCGTAGCAAAAACCTTAGCCCACTCCGGGCCACACGAACCCCCCTAGCTGCGCCACTGCTGATGCGTCGCTCGCTGTGGTCCTTGCACACATGTTTCAGTTCTTTCAATTAATAGTGTCCTGCTTTACTCTTGACGTCAACCCCCCCCCCCACCAGCTGTCACAAAAGATGCCCCGCCCCTTTCATCCTCAACGTGGAGCTGTCGCAGTGCACCTGTATATGTCCACAGACTTACCATGACCAGCTGCTGGAGTGCACCCTCATCCTACAAGGGGTCAAACAGCTAGACGAGAAAGGACTTGAGTAAGTTCATTTAATTACCCCCCCCCCTTTTTTTTTGACATAGGTTAACATTGGGGCGGGATCAGAGGCAGTTTATCTTTAGCCAAGTCAGCTGTCAGTTGGACAATCTAGGCCCATAAGGTGTCGCTTCACAGTGGTTCACAGAGGACTACATAAGATATATATAATATATTTATATATATATACATATATATATATATATATATATATATATATATATATATATATATATAAATAAGAGAACATATGTTATCGGTATANCAATTCTTAACGTTAAAAATGTAATGATATTTACGTTTCTAACATCATTGAGTTTTGAGAAGTGTTTATCTGCTACACAGTATACGCCTTTCCTACTCCCTTTCACGCTCCTTAACTACTTTTTCCTCTCTAAACATGACCCTAAATTACCCAATCTAAATTACCACTAATTGTATCACTTTTGTCACTAAAGACTTTAATTGAGGGGCAACTACTACGCTAGAGAAATACTTTAGGTTTATCCATTTTCGTGCCCTTGAATTACAACTTTTTTTTCCTCTAAAAATTCTTAAAACACCTAATCTTAAATTTAAAATAAAATCTCTATATGTGATATAATATCTATTTTATATTACAGGAATTCGATATATATTGACATCTTCATCAAAGATTTACACACATTCTTGCCTGCTTTAAAAAATTTATACGTTATCAGAAAACCGTAAATCAAAAAAATTCTTTTATGTAAAGAAGAATATCGCAACGGTTTTTCACGCCTCAAACAGACTTACGTCTAAAACAGACTTTCGTCTAAAACAGACTTACGTCTAAAACAGACCTGTGTGTCTTTTTTTTTTTTTTAAAGTGTTTAAAATGATTGGATTTCGATATTCATGGGCATACATGTACCCACGTTTTGTTAACGCCATTGATTTTCTTAATTGTTAAACAATATGTTAATTTGTAAAAAGAGAATGTAACATCTCTTTTATCACAAAGTTAATACCATAGGATTTAAGTGTATTGTCATCCACGTAAAAACTTACACATCCTATTTACTACCTTCGATATAAATGTACCCAAGGAGGTTAATTATTCATCAAATTCATTCATTTATTTTGAGACTTATCTTGTTCTGCCTGGGGCAAAATCACCACACCCCTCAAGATTTTTAAAATTAAAATTAATACAATCTTCCACCGGATTGTAATCCCTTCCATACCCAAACTAACATATTTTGCACTTCACATGGTTGTTCTAATTTGGATGAGTTATAAGTGGATTAGTGAATGCTATTTGGCTAGTGAGTTTCCCTGCACTGATTGTCTTAAAGGGCATTTTCTTATTAGAATTATATTTGAAGGCTAGTTTTTATTACGTCATAACTTTAATAAAAGTATATTTTTATAATTAAAAAAGGCAAAACTTTTTAAATGTAAAAATATACAAAGCTAAAATGTGTGTGTTTTTTTATAACGATTTAAAACGCAATCAATTGTATTTATTAATTTTACTTTTTTAAAGGGAAAATACATTGTCAGTTTTGTCACGCGCTGTTATTAAATTTAAAGAAACCTAAGAGTTTTGGCGAAATAGGCTATTCGCGCTTTGACTTCATTGTGTGATTATTTAGAACAAATTGGTTTTAATTTTATTTCGCAATATTAACAACGCATTAAAGGACGCACTAAAAGTGACTGATGGTTGGGTTTTCCCGATAATGACTTTACGGTGTAATTCTTTGATCATTATTTTATAATTTTTATTTTTTTTTCCATATTTTTCAAACACATATAAAATGCGTCAGATATTTCCTTAGTTGATTTTTTAAATGCATTTGTAATTTATAATAATAATACTTAAAATTTTACTAAAATGAAAGCGGATTTAAAATATTTTTTTCACATTTAAAGATATTCGATTTCCGTAAAATAATAGAAAACAATAACTATGATTGTTTTTTAGGAATCCGAATGTACTTAAATCTTATCGGTTCTTTGGAGTTACGTCAGTATTGCTCATTTATATATATATATATATATATATATATATATATATATATTATATTTATTTATTTATTTATATATAGGGCCTTAACCTTGCTAACTATATCTTAGATGGGGGAAGAGACAGTGACCCCATTACGGAATAGCGTCAGAATATCTTACACGCTTAGTAATCGGGGGAGCTGGACGCTAGCAACACATGTTTGTCACATGACACAAATAAAGAGTACATAACTATTGTAATAGATAGGGGTCACAGGTGTAATCATAGGTAGAGGGTCATCGATGTAGTCATAAATAGGGATCACAGACGTAGTCGTAGATAAGGGTCACAGATGTAGTCAAAGATAGGGGCCATCGATGTGGTCATATACAGGGGTCAAAAGTATGATTATATATAGGGGTCATCGGTGTAGTTATAGATAGGGGTCATATATAGGGGTCATAGATAGGGGTCATAGATAGGGGTCATAGATAGGGGTCATAGATAGGGTTCATAGATAGGGGTCATAGATATGGGTCATCGATGTAGTCATAGATAGAGGTAATAGATAGGGGTCATATCAGTGGTCATCGATGTGGTCATAGCGGTGGTCATATATAGGGGTTGGCGATGTGGTCATAGAAAGCGGTCATATATGCGGTCATAGATAGAGGTTATCGATGTGGTCATCGATAGGGGTCATAGATGTGATCTGCGTGTGTGTTATCAGACTGCTACATACCAGAGTGACTGGAGGTATGTTCACATACAATATTACGTTGTATACCATTGTGGTAGCGGCTCTGGCAAACAAACCGTTTATCTGTCATACCAAGAGACCAGAAGTTGACGTGTCATCTGTAAAATTAGACCTAAGTAAGAAATCAGTTTTCCGCACAGCGGGGACTGGTCACTGTGTGTTTGTTGACATTTTGCATAGTTCATCTCAAACTTGCTCTGCTCAGTTTCCAGTAGGACACCAAAGACTTGTGCTATTATATCTGGCCTTCATCCTCCTAGCCAAAGACTTGTACTATTATATCTGGCCTTCATCTTCCTAGCCAGAGACTTGTGCTATTATATCTGGCCTTCATCCCCCTAGCCAAAGACTTGTGCTATTATATCTGGCCTTCATCCTCCAAGCCAAAGACTTGTGCTATTATATCTGGCCTTCATCCTCCTAGCCAAAGACTTGTGCTATTATATCTGGCCTTCATCGTCCTAGCCAAAGACGTGTGCTATTATATCTGGCCTTCATCCTCCTAGCCAACTCCTACTCTCCTGAACACAACCCTGGACCGAAAGTTTCTACGGGTGCTGGCTATTCTCCATCGCATATCCGCTCATGTTCCCAGTCATTACGGACCCGCGGTACTTGTGACCTTGCAGTGCAGTGGGAAGACAGAGGCGTTGCATGTGATCAATGTGGGCAATGGTTCCATGGTCAATGCCAAAGCATCAACACAGACTATGACAAACAGCATGGGGAAAATTCTGGCATGCCTTGTTACTGTACAGTCTGCGGATGCCTGAATAGCCAGATCGTATTTGACCTTCACAGTTCAAGGTCAGAATCTACACTCCCAGATTTCTCCCTAAATCCCCCATGCTCCACACCAACGGACCTTAAGAGTTTTCAGCCACCACACTGCTCTACTCTTATGCGCTGCAGTCAGCCAGACAAATGGAAACACAGACCATTGAGCATATTGAATGTGAACTTTCAGTCTGCAAGCGGAAAGAGAGTTGAGATAGCCAACTTGATTAACAGCTTAAAACCTGACATTATCTTGGGCACAGAAACATAGCTGAATCCCTCCATAGCCAACGCAGAGTTTGTACTGGATAATTACAAACTATTCCGGCGAGACAGAAAAGACAGAGGAGGAGGAGTGCTTGTTGCTGCCCATGACAGCCTGGACTGTTGATGTTGATGAATGCGACCTCCAGTGGGTGAAGGTGAAGCTGAAAGGTAAACGCAAACTTTACGTGTGTGCATATTACAGACCTAACACAGCAGATGAACAAAGCATGGGGAGGCTTTATGTGTCAATTCAGAGAACGATGCAGTCGAAGAACGTTTCTCTCCTTATAGGGGGAGATATCAGCTTTCCTGTTTGGAACAGGCAGTATCCTGCCTTGAAGCCCAAGTCCCCATACCCGGTCCTACACTCTGAATTCATGGAGATAATTAACAACCATGGTCTGGAACAGACGGTTAAAGAACCCACGCGAGGGGAAAACACTCTCGACCTACTCCTCACTAACAGTCCACATCTCATCCCAAGAGTAGAAGTCATCCCCGGAATATCAGACCACTGCATACCGTACTGCGAATTTCAAGTCAGCGTGCTAAAAAAGAAACAGGCTGTGCGAGAAATCCCCATTTATTCAAAGGCAGACTGGGATAGCCGGAGAAGTGCAGCGACTGAGCTGAGTTCAAACATGCATGAGATTCAGGGTAATGCGACAACAGAAGAGCTGTGGATGAAATTCAAGACAACAATCACTGATGCAGTGAAGAAATCCATACCACACAAGACCTCAAAACCTAAGACAAATCAACCATGGGTTACGGCTGAAATTCGAAGGCTCATACACAGGAGAGACCGTCAGTACAAACGAATGAAGAAGAATGGCTCGGTCGGACTAAAAGCTGAAGTACGGAGGCTCCGAAGAACCATCCAACGCTTACTGCGCAGATCTTACTGGAACTACCTGAGCGGCATCTTCTCAGAGAACAAGCGGTTCTGGGGCTAGGTCAAGCATCAAAGGTCAACAAACACCGGGGTTTCCCCCCCTGAGATGGGAAGGCAAGTTGACGTCTGAACCCAAAGAAAAGGCGAACATACTCAATCAACAGTTCCATTCAGTCTTGGGGATTGTAGAGTACTCAGAAGTTGAGTTCCTTCTGAAGACCAACATAATGAGCACAGCCTACCCCACCATGGAAGATATCCAGATTTCAGAGAAGGGTGTGCTGGAGCTCCTTAAAACCATTACCCCTACAAGGCATGTTGTCCTGACAACATCAACCCATGAGTGCTAAAAGAATTGGCCAATGAAATCGCTCCTGCTCTAACAATCCTTTTCCGATCGTCACTATTCACAGTCAACGTTCCAACTAACTGGAGAACAGCGCATGTCACTCCAATCTACAAAAAAATGGGAGCATTACCATCCTTCCAACTAATGCCCTGTATCCCTCACTAACGTAGTATGTAAACTATTGGAGCACATAATCGTAAGCGCGGTCATGAATCATCTTGAAAGACACAATATATTCAATGACTGTCAGCATGGCTTTCGAGTCAACAGATCATGCGAGGCCCAACTCCTTGAATTTGCTGAAGAATTGACGACGAACTTTGAGAACAGCAAGCAGACTGATGTGTTTGTGATGGACTTTTAAAAAGCGTTTGACCGTGTCAACCATAGCTTGCTATTACACAAACTGCAGAGATATGGGATCCAAGGCACTACAAAAACATAAATCTCTAGATTCCTCAGCGCCCTATGCAAGGCAGTAGTGGTAGAGGGCAAAACCCCCTCCTTTCGTCGTTGTTAAGTCAGGGGTCCCCCAGGGCTCAGAGCTAGGCCATTGTTTGTTCCTAGCATATATCAATGATCTGCCCAAGATGCTGACCTCTCAAGCAAGACTTCTCAGGCTACACGGCGGTATATAGGACAATCGTCAACAGTTCTGATCAGAGCCAGCTCCAACAAGATCTCAATCGGTTAGCTGAGTGGGAGATGAACTGAGACATGGAATTTCATCCCGTCAAGTGCAGGACCTTGTCAGACTGCAGAAGCAGATCCCCTCTAAACCACTCTTACGTATTGCATGGCCACATTCTTGAACCAGTTTCCTCCGTTAAGTACCTGGCTGTTACCATTCAAAGAGAGGTCCGCTGGGACAAGCACATTAACAGTGTGTGCAAACGGGCAAACAAGACCTTGGGATTCCTAAGGCGCAATCTGAAGATCGGCAACTCCAGCGTGAAAGAAAAAGCCTATAAAGCCTTTGTCCGTCCTCTTTTAGAGTACGCTTCTACAGTCTGGAACCCATTTAGCCAGAAAAGCATCGACGGGTTGGAGGCGGTCCAGCGATGGGCAGCACGCTTTGTCCTGAACCGCTACAGAAACACCTTAATTGTTGAAAGCATTGTGGCTGGTCTACATTGGAAGAACGACGATGACTATCCAGGCTCACCATATTGTAAAAAATGGGCTGGTCCACTGCTCCGGCATCAAACAGAAACTCGTTCATCTTTCCCCTAGACAACGACGACGCCACGACAGACAGTTCCAGCTGTTAAAAACAAGAACAAAGTACAGGAGCTTCTCATTTCCACCAAAGACAATAGTGGACTGGAACAAGCTTCCAAAGGAAACAGTTGAGGCGGCTACACTCAACACATTAGTGTCTATTACCTCCTGTATTCCGACCCCCAGTTCGTAACACCACTGCTGAGTCGCCCTTGCAACCATTGAAGTATCCCCCTTGAAACCCATGCACAGTAACATCGCGAACCCCTCTGAAACATAAGAGCCAGAATGCTCAATTCATTGATCGTGGGCCCTCAACATAAAGAAGAAGATATGATCATAGATTGGGGTCATAGATAGGGGTCATAGATAAGGGTCATAGATAGGGGTAATAGATGTGATCATAGATGTGGTCATAGATTAGGGTCATATATAGGGTCATATATTGGGTTCATAGATTGGGGTCATAGATAGGGGTCTTAAATGTGATCATAGATGTAGTCATTGATAGGGGTCATAGATAGGGTCATAGATTGGGGTCATAGATAGGGGTCATAAATGTGATCAAAGATGTAGTCATAGATGTTGGTCATAGATAGGGTCATATATTGGGATCATAGATAGGGGTCATAAATGTGATCACAGATGTGGTCATAGATAGGGTCATAGATTGGGGTTATAGATAGGGGTCATAAATGTGATCATATATGTCATCATATATTATGTGATCATAGATGTAGTCATAGGTAGCGGTCATTAACGTGATCATAAATGTTGTCATAGGAGTATGGATGGGTTCATCGATGTGGCCATAGATAAGGGGTCATCGATAGTGGCCAACAATGTGTTCCCATTTCTTGAATTTTTAAACAAACCTAAAGAGTTAATGCCTCGTCGTTGACTTTCTTCTCCTTAGATGTAAGAGTCAAAGAGTGAATAAATATGCAGTGCACTACCTTCTTCTCTTTAGATGTAACGAGTCTGTGAAAGAGTGATTAACAAAATCTTGTACCTTTTTCTTCCCTATAGATGCATCAAAGCAGCCAAATGCTACTATCCCAAATGCGAGAGAGGCTCCTTCGACGTCGCCACCGGCTTATGCCCCTTGGCTCCCGAGTGGGCCCTACCGAGTTACATGTTCCAGAACCCGGTAAATCACGCCGACTACAGAAGTCATATTCCAGGCTTCGGCACGAGAACGACCGGGCCAAAAGTTACCCACCCTTTCAAGGTGTTGTCCACCACGAAGTCACCCAGGAGAGTACAAAACGAAAAGGACGAGGCGAGGAAGCAAGCGAGACTCAAGCCGCACATGAGCTCGGTGTTCCACGAGGGGCACCGACATCAGCCGCTTCGCACACCGAAACCGACACCGAAACCAAAACTGGATGTCGGGTCTAAAGTAAACTCAACAGTTGAAATAGCCAAAGCATACGCCAAGATACCCAATCCTGGTATGAGTGGCAGCTATCACGAAAATTATCGTCCCTATCGGCCTATTCCAACTACGACGGAAAAGGTGAAAAAAAGTGAGAACTCGTCGTTCGACAGTTCTAATCAGAATGTGACGCAACGGACAGACTATATTTTCGCAAAACTTTCCAACACCACCGATTCGAATCCGAAGAGCGCTAAAAATAACAAAAGTAGACTGGGAATTCCCGAAGGCGATCTTCCTGTTAATAACAAAAGTGGATTGGGAATACCCGTAGACGATTTTCCTGTTAATAACAAAAGTGGATTGGGAATTCCCGTAGACGAGATTCCTGTTAATAACAAAAGTGGATTGGTAATACCCGTAGACGATTTTCCTGTTAATAACAAAAGTGGATTGGGAATACCCGTAGACGATTTTCCTGTTAACAACAAAAGTGGATTGGGAATTCCCGTAGACGATGTTCCTGTTAATAACAAAAGTGAATTGGGAATACCCGTAGACGATGTTCCTGTTAATAACAAAAGTGGATTGGGAATACCCGTAGACGATTTTCCTGTTAACAGTAGCACTGAGTTAAACGGGGATTCGAGAAACGCTTCCATCGTATTAAATACAATATCCGTGCCGCAAGCCAAAGGTGCCGCCGGGTTGGATGAAATCGTTACAGGGAATAATAAAGCGAAACCTGACCTAGAAGAGGAGCGACAAAACCGTCCCAGGTCTCTTCCCAGCCCGCAAGACGTCGACCAATCAACCGACGCAGCCAAGGACCTGGCTCCGCCGGACGACTCCACCGCACGGGAACGCCCGTCCCCACCCGACGTGGCACCGGATCAGGACGACGGGTCGACAGATCCAGGTCAACAAGAGGGCAGCAGTAATGGAGGGGATCGTGGGCCGCCAGTAGACCAGCAAGAAGATAAAGGTGCCGAGGGCTCCGGGCAAGATTAAAACAGACACTTGCGTTTTTTTTTTTTTTTTTTTTTTTTCAAATTTTTTTTTTTTTTTTTTTTTTTTTTTCAAATCTTTTTTTTTTTGTTCCCTGTTCAATGAATTACTCATATAAATGCCCTGAAGAATTGTGTCTTTTATAATTTTATGTCCACTTCTTTCTTTTTTTTTCTTTTTCTTTCTTTTGCTTGTTTACTTTTCCTCATAGTTTCTTTCTATCTTTCTTATCATCTTCCTTTCTTTTTTGTTTTTTTCTCATGGATTCCTACGTTTTAATATTTTTTTCTTTGTCTCCTGCATCTTCTATTTGTTTCAGTTCTTCCCTTTTCTGTCCTCCCGATCTATTTTCCCTAACCCTTTCCCTTTAATATTTTAATTAATTTTTTTTTTTTTAAATTTGTTTGTGTGGCTTTGTTGTTGCTTTTTTTTTTTTTTCTTTCTTTCTAAAATTTCCGAAATTCGATTACTTTGTCTTTAAGTGCATTCAAATTTTAATGGCATTTTTCTTTCTCACTACAATTGTAGCCACTTTTTTTTTTCCACAGACGATTTCTTTTCATTAGTGAATTATGTTTCTGTTCATTTATTTTTTGACAAACCCCACTTTATTACTTGCCCCCGCCCCCCCCCCCGGTCTTTATTTATATTATCAGTTCATTTCCCACCCATTTACCACCCCCACCCCTCCCAAACCCAACCACAAGAAACGTATTTTTTCTCCAATTGTTATTTAGGTCATCATGTTTAATTTGTCATTTATTTATTCTAAACATGTCAAGCCTGAAATCGGACATTTCTGTTTTCATACAGTCTTCGGCAATACATATTTTGGAAATACATCTTTTTTGGCAATTCATTTTTTTTGCCTACATCTACATCTCTTGTAACAGACATAGTTATTGCTGGCAATATATGACAGTAGCATCGATCTTATATACGGTTACCGGAAATTCGATCGAAAGAAATTTCGTCGACGGTAAATTGATCGGAGGTAATTTGATCGAACGGATATTTGGTCGAAACTTTTTTTTTTTTCAGTTAACGCGTTATTATTTTCGTCAAATTTCTTTTGAGCGCACTATACCTTATAGTAAAACAAAATAATGCGTTCAAAAAGAAATTTGAAGCAAAGGTTTAACGTAAAAACTGAAGAATCAAAATGATTCGGACCAAACTTCCGTTCGATCAAATTACCGTCGATCAACTTACCGTCGACCAAATTTCTTTCGATCAAATTTCCCGATACGGTTGTATACTGATACTATTTAAAAAAAAAAAAAAAAAAACTTGTTTAAGGCTGACGTTGTACGGAATGAAGAAAATTTTCATGTGTTTATTAAAAAAAAAAAACCAACAGGAAATGACATTCTATTATTCAACCTATTGACCTCCCACGAACACTTTCAAATTTTAAAAAAAAATTAGTTTTCTATTAACAAAAAATATTTGGGGTTCTATTTATTCAAATGGGATTCCATTCATTAAATTACTTTACATGTTAATATCATTATTTATACCTGTAAATTTGTCCTCAAATTTAAAATGCCCAAGATTCTTAACATGAGACACGAAAAGACTCAGTGGATTTTAGTTCATTTGTGAAGCAACTTATCTTAAGAGGAATCTTGATTGAGGCAGACGTGTTGTATGGGGTATTTTATTGACCAATAGATTTGATTGTTTTTTTTTTCCATTTAAATTGAGTGTCCCTTCCTCATTTATGTCTTTATTCGCACTTTACTTTGGCATAGAACTTCTTGAGCTCAATCTGTGCTTTAAGTAAAGCTACAGTTTTCTTCTACCAGTCAGGGATGAAGTTTCATCTAGAAGTATTTAGGGCAGTGGTTTTCAACCGGTGGGTCGCGACCAATTTTTTTCGGGAGGTTGGGGGGGGGGGTCGGCGGCTGGGGGTCAAATGACCCTTACACAAGGTTAACCTAAGACCATCGGAAAAAAAATATTTATGCAGAAGCAGCGATTATAAATTTATGTTCGGGGGTCACCGCGGCATGAGAAATTGTATTAAAGGGTCGCGACAATGGTAAGATTGAGAAGCACTGGTAAAAGGGGAAGATCGCTCAAAGGTATTTTGTAGATTGAACTCCCAGAAGAAATATTGCCGATCACGCATACACATAAGCGACACATGAAACAAACGTCACCCCACCCAACACACATATGAAACAAACGCCACCACACACTTGAAACAAACGCCACCCCACCCCACACAGTTGAAACAAACGCCGTCCCACACAGTTGAAACAAACGCCACACCACCCCACACAGTTGAAACAAAGGCCACCCCACACAGTTAAAACAAAAGCCAACCCATCCCACACAATTGAAACAAACGCCACCCCACCCCACACACATATGAAACAAACGCCACCCCACCCCACACACACATGAAACAAACGCCACCCCACCCACACACATGAAACTAACGCCTGCCCACCCCAAACACACATGAAACATACGCCACCCCACACACACATGAAACAAACGCCACCCCACCCCACACACAACATGAAACAAACGCCACCCCACCCCACACACACATGAAACAAACTCCACCCCACCCCACACACAACATGAAACAAACGCCACCTCTCTCTCTCTCTCACCCCCCCCACCACCAATACACACATGTAACACATGCAGTTTTCGGGAAAAAATTCTGACCAGCCGGACATTTGTATGATGTTATTCCATCTAGCTAAGCCTATGACCTTCATTTTACACCCATAATCTTTATCTTATTTCTGATCATATATAAGAACGGACAAAGTTCATCCGACAACTTCAACAATTTGGAGCAAATTCGTCCATGAAATATTGTGTCAAAATATTTTTAGTCAATTCTTATATTTATGTTATAGAAAACTCATTATATATAATTAAATATCATCTATATTATGCATAGTATTTGGCATATTGCTGATTATTAACGCAGTACGACGACAAAAGGGAGAGTATTCCATAATTTAATCAATTTTAATATTGTTCTACTTATTTCCCTTGCCACTTGCTCTGGACAAACTGAGACATGTACCACGCGGCTCCCTTCTCATACCAAGATGGCCGCTCCGCTTTCTTCTCGTATTTCATTTGTAATGACAACTTATCGATTGCTGTTAGAAGCATGTAGCTAGTTCCTCCTACCAGGACACACTAGGCACACATCTCTTAGTTACCGGTCATGCAAATCATCAGTAGATATTTCATTATTCAACAAGGGGACACAAGTCCTGCTCAGTAGAATTTCGAAAAGAAATAGCATTTTTTTAAAATATACATATATTTTTTTTATATATATTTTTTTTTTCACATGTTTTTGTAAAGTGGAGTGGAAATATTTAAAATTTGCAAACACATGATTAAATGTATATTTCTACTGTTGTAATATCGAGTTGTTATCTTAGTTGACGACTCAGACCAGGCGACAACGATACAATGGTGAGACGAAGAATTTTTTCATATATTAAAAGTCCATCTTAAATATTACAAAAAGTATACGATATCATATTTTGAGTATCTCTCAATTACCGTGTAACTTACATTAAATCTCTGTCTAAAATGTTTCTGCCTCTGATTCTTTCCTAGTTTACTTTTGTTAATACTATTTGTTGCTTTATTTTCTTATGACATGCGTTTTGAAATTTTTTTTTTAATACAACACATTTCTTATTGCACATATGTACACCAGCTGTGCTCGATGATCATCTAATGTTGATTATGTGTAGGTGACAACCTTCAATGTCTGTTCAGACTATCAACCTTGATTCTGTGTAGGTAACCACCTCAAAATGTCTGTTCAGACTTATTAACCTTGATTTCTGTGCAGGTGGCAACCTTCAATATCTGTCCAGACTATCAACCTTGATTCTGTGTAGGTAACTACCTCGAAATGTCTTATTCAGACTGTTAGACTAACCTTGATTCTGTGTAGGTAGCAACCTTCAATGTCTGTTCAGACTGCTAACCTTGATTCTGTGTAGGGAGCAACCTTCAATGTCTGTTCAGACTGTTAACCTTGATTCTGTGTAGGTAACAACCTTCAATGTCTGTTCAGACTGTTAACCGTGATTCTGTGTAGGTAGCAACCTTCAATGTCTGTTCAGGCTGCTAATGAGCTTATATTCGGTGAACAGGTAGCCCCAAGCATTTTATTTATCTAGGATCTTAAACACAACGGCAGTAAACAAAATGGTTCTAGTGAAACAGCGCAGCTTCTGAAGAAAGTAACTCCTGACATTTCATCATCCGATGAAACAGCGCAGCTTCTGAAGAAAGTAACTCCTGACATTTCATCATCCGATGAAACAGCGCAGCTTCTGAAGAAAGTAACTCCTGACATTTCATCATCCAATGAAACATCGCAGCTTCTGAAGAAAGTAACTCCTGACATTTCATCTTAATCACACAATTTTTGTTGGTAATAATGAGTTGGTTGTTAATTTCATTTGGGCAAGAAGTTTTGAATTTATTTTCATTGCATTAAACTTTGAGATTTGTAAATAAAATTAATCGTTATTTCAGTGTGTAAAGTAGTTCATTTTATAGAATATCTCTACATAAGACAAGCGTTATTTCAGTGTGTAAAGTAGTTCGTTTTACAGAATATCTCTACATAAGACATGCGTTATTTCAGTGTGTAAAGTAATTCGTTTTACAGAATATCTCTACATAAGACATGCGTTATTTCAGTGTGTAAAGTAGTTTATTTTATAGAATTTATCTACATAAGACATGAGTTATTTCAGTGTGTAAAGTAGTTCGTTTTACAGAATATCTCTACATAAGACATGCGTTATTTCAGTGTGTAAAGTAGTTTATTTTATAGAATTTATCTACATAAGACATGCGTTATTTCAGTGTGTAAAGTAGTTTATTTTATAGAATTTATCTACATAAGACATGCGTTATTTCAGTGTGTAAAGTAGTTCATTTTATAGAATATCTCTACATAAGACATGAGTTATTTCAGTGTGTAAAGTAGTTTATTTTATAGAATTTATCTACATAAGACATGAGTTATTTCAGTGTGTAAAGTAGTTTATTTTATAGAATTTATCTACATAAGACATGCGTTATTTCAGTGTGTAAAGTAGTTTATTTTATAGAATTTATCTACATTAGACATGCGTTATTTCAGTGTGTAAAGTAGTTCGTTGAATAGAATATCTCTACATTAGATTTACGTTATTCAAACTGAATTTATATAAATAAAATGTGCCAATCATTAAAAAAAAATTACTTTTTTTTATTTTTAAAATTTAAAAACTCAGTTTTATAAAAATGACATTTTGAGAATTTCGATTTTAACTAAAATATATAGATCTGAGTTCAATGAAATTTAGAGAAATCAAACATTTTTTTAAAAGCGGCCGAGGAGTGCCCAGCGCAATGTGTCCAACCCGGTTTAATAACGAAGACATAGTACATGCTGAAGAAGATTAAATAAATGATAGATGTAACGGAAACGTTCTTTTAAAAATAATCAAATAATTTGAAGAATTGAAAAAAAAAAAAACTTTCACAAAATAAACATAAAGTGGCAGCCTAAATATTTTGAACGAATTTATTTTTCAATCGCATCTCTTATATATATTTCGCTTCTGGTGTGGCCGCTTCCATTTCCGACTGCTTCCCAACAAGCTCGCTTGCTTACTATCCACCGTATTTGGTACTGAGATTATTTTGGTAGCTTTTGCGACTTCCCTTGTATTTTGTGACGCATACTTGGGTATGGGAAATGGCGTTGTTACTGTTGTTATGTTTTAGCAGGAGCAGCAGTGACGGCGTGGTTAGTCGTGGTGTGTAAGCAATAGAGTTCTTTATTTAATAAAGAGATGTTTGCTAGATGAATCATTGGTTTGTAAAATAATTAATGAAATTAATTAAAGTACATATAATTCTAGATTAATTGATTCGTGTCTAATTAATCTCTTATTGACACAATTTTTTCGTGTCTAATTAATCTATATAA